ATATATATATATATGTGGGGGAGGAAAACTTACAAACTAGGTCCTAGTATATAAATTGTAAGTTCAAGGTCAACCAGAACTACATAGTGAGCACCTATCTCAGAAAAAAAAAAGATAAATGGCCACTTATAATTTCCATTGTTTTAGTCAAGCTTTAACAAATCTTAAAATTACCCAACTTTAGGTGGTTTTATGTAGTGGTTAAGAGGCTCTGAAGTCAGACTATGCAGACTCCTGGTATCATGACACTGGTGGGAGACCTGGTGTGTCACGCGTACCTTGTCAAGCCCCATGCCACTGAACTGCACCCTCAGCCCAAGGATATTAATCTTTAACAATGGTTTCCCTGGCTATACCCTTTGAGGATCACAGTAATCATACTTGTCTTGCAACATTGTGAAGGCCAACTGAAAAAAATATGCACAAGTGAAAGTCTTGCGTATTCCCTTCCTGAAAACACCACTGACTTGGCTCATTCAGGGTATTTGGGAACCCAGAGAGTTCACATTATACCGTGGTGTTTGTTTTTTAAAATCTGATTTGATTGTAAACTTTGGTCTCCACCTCATCTAGAGGAATTCCAAATTGGTGACATTTTGCCACCATAGTGACTCTAGTGTGAGGGCTACCTGGGGTCCCCTACAGCATCAGGAGCCATCAGGTCGCAGCACCGTAAGCCTTACTTCACTCTAAGCAGCATAGCGGGCACCATAGCAAGGCCGTGGGCGCCTCATCTCCCGCTGTGTGCTCCTTTCTTCCAGGACCTCCTAGGCTACAGGGAGGCTGGAAGCCAACAGGCTCTCCAAACTGTAGCCCAAGGGAACCAGTTTGTAAACAGTGTGCACAGGGGAAAAGTTGAAGAACGCTATTAAGCTCCTGTGAAAATGTGGCTTGTGAGCTACTAGAAATTATGAAGTAGGCAGTACCTCATCCATGAGCAAGTACCCTCGTAGGAAACAGGCAGGTAGAGGAGGGGCCAGGAGTGGTCACTGTCCTCTGCATGTACACAGGAATTTAGTGCTTAGTTATCTGAGGTGTGGAAAGGATGTTATGCGAACCACAACCCGAAGACATTTGCGACATGACTGCCAACAGGGCAGGTTTTGGGGCCTTCCTGCTTGTTTTGGAACGGGTCCAGCATGACTTTTTTTTTTTTTTTTTTTGCTTTTCTTTTCTAAAAATGTACTCTGCAGTGTTTTTAACTGCAAACACATACTAGTAAAAAAATTAAAGTTGAAAAAAAATCTAGAGTCCAGTCTAGCACCATGTATGGCATGTAAAGTGCTTATCGCCTATTTTTAAGGATATGAAAATGGATGTTTTTAAATTGTAGGTGTAATTATGGTGGCTGAGTAATGGTTGTTTTAAAGTAATGAAATGCTTTTATATTTTTGTATGTGGTAATGTATTTTGGACTCAAGGAATGAGGTATTTGCCTTGATAAAATGTTCTACAGTGAGTTAAGCTCCAAACACCTTTTAAGGGAAGGTGTAATTGAATATGATTTTCCCTCTGCTTGATGACCCATGCTCATCTCAGATACCTTTTTTTTTTTTTTTTTTTTTTAAGAGGAGGTCAGTATTTGACTCAATTTAGTTTGCTGTGTATGGTTTTCTTTTTTCTTCCTTTTAGTGGCCAGCTGGCACTGGCCATTTCTGCCCCAGATGTTGTTCACCTTGTCAGTCCTTTTATAATCCATTGATGGCTTACTGCCAGAAGTTTCTTCTAGGTTGAGAAATTAGTCGTCAGGTTGGGAAAGATAGCTGTGTTGAACAAAAGCAAGATTCTGATTGAGGGCTCAGGACGACGCGCTGGGCTGTATTGCAGTTATTTCTGTGTCCTCGTGTTCCGTGGTCCTGTCTGCAGGAGGGCAGTGTGTTAGTTTCACTGTTGCAAGCAGGCTTGCCTCTGGTGGCTCTGCCTACGGTGTGCGATTTATTATGGGACTCGCTTAAATCTTTTCTCTCTGCTTTGTGAACAGTCAAAATTTGCTGTGTGATGTCACAATTGTGGCCGAAGACATGGAAATCTCTGCGCACAGAGTGGTGCTGGCCGCCTGTAGTCCTTATTTTCATGCCATGTTTACAGGTAAGAAACATATTATTTAATGTTTTTAAAAAAATACATTAGATCTAAATTTTTCATTTTCTTTTGTTATGAACATTTACTAAAAAAGAAGTGTAATGGAAGAACACGTACTCAATGGAAACAAAAAATGTCTGTAATGGGTATTAAAATATAAAAGCGATAAATCTCACCACAAATTTACAAGACCTATATATAGAAAACCAGAAAACATTACAGATATACTAAAATTTTCAAGAAACAAAATTAAGGTGAAACACTTGAAGATAACAGTTTTCTTTGAAAATCAAAAAAACTTTGGAAGGCTAACATGACATTATTGCCAGAATTAATATACATTTATAATATCTTATTTACTTTTTCAGCCTCTCACGCTAGGAAGACAATGTGATGTTTGCACATGAATCTGATTTATTTCACTTTGTCAATTCCACTTGCATTCATATACCTATAAAAGTTCTATAGTTTAACATTTTTTGTGGCTGAATAATACTCTTGTCTAATTGCTCTGGCTAAGGTTTCCAAAACTATGTTGAATAAAAATATAGTGAACAAAAAAAAAAAAAAAAAGAACACGTACTCGCTGTTCTCAGTTCCTGTTTCGTGTCTGCGCTGGGTGAGCGCGCATCTGCGCACGCGCACTCCTTTCTGCGCGGTGCTGCCCCGTGGCGGCCCGCTTGCCTCTGCTTCGTTTGCCTTCCTGCCATTCATTCCAGCTTGTAGCACTTTATCATTTTGACAAATGAAAAGCACGTTTACTGTTCTGTATTTTTCAAGTGATTTTCACATAAGCTCCATCCAGTGTTTATATGAACAAAATTATGTTTGGATAATGTGCATTATTTAGAAATAAAATAGAGTACTTCATCCAGGAGCTTTGCCAGTTGCAAGCACAGCATGATTTTAGTGCTTCTGGAAAAGGAGTGATATATGTCTGTCTTGTAGAAGCCTTAGGTTCTTTATAAAATTTTTCTAAAACTTCGTAATTCCCCTGACTTGTGGGCATACAGGAGGACCCACCCACAGTAGGTGCCCGAGACGGCAGATGGTACCACATCCTATAGGTACTATTCTTTTCCTATACAGACTGCTATACTTATACAGCTTAATTTGTAAATTAGGCACACTAAAAAGTTAACAGCAATAATAAAGTAGATCAGTTATAACAGTGCATTGTAATGAAATTGTTAATATCACTACCTTTGTGCTTCTGGGCTCTAGTTAGGTAAAGTAAGCATTACTTGGCCACGAGCACTGCGGCACCTTGACCTTCGATGTCATCATCCAGAGGGCACTAGTGACTGTCCGACAGGTAGCACACAGTGGGTGTGTTGATGAGGAGACGCTTCAGGTCCCAGGAGATGCAGCACAGGACGACGTAAGATTTCATCACACTGCTGAGAAGGGCGCACAATTTAAAACTTATGAATTGTTTATTTTTGGAATTTTTAATATTTTTGCAGTATGGTTGATTATGAAAACTGCAAAAATAAGACCTCCAAGCAGGGGAGACAACTGAAATCGTGTACAAAGAAACAGTGATCTGTTCCATCAGTTACCTTATACTCATAGTGTACTGGTACACCAAGCGGAGCATACAAGTATAGTCACCCCAGAAGGCAGAAGCACAAAGCCCTTTTGCGCTAGGCACGACTAAGTATCTCCTGTTCCCAGCATATTGCTAGGTACCTCAAGGAGCACAGGAACAGTGCAGGTGTACTGTGTGCCCACAGCTGGTTGTGTTGTTGGGAGTGAGGGGCGCACACTGTAGCAGGTGACCCTGGGTTGGGCCCCAAGTGTCCCAGCAGCGTTGTGGGGTGTAAGTCTGTGGTGGCTGGCACCCAGGAGGGGTCCCATTTCCTGGTGGATGTGGAAGATGGGCACAGATGAAGACAGGTGTAGGCAGCCACATGGAGATGGTGGGTGGAGTGAAAGCTGTGTCAACTATAAAGGCAACCGAGGGCCTTCAGTTTTCAGCCCTCTGCACCTTTGCTGTTCCTCAGCCAAGTGAAATAATGAGCGTGGAGGCAGCTCTGGGCTTGGAGGTGAGCAGGAGGGTTCCCCTGGAGGTCGACCGGAGAAGACGTAATGAAGTGAGATGGTTGGGCTGCACTTTGGTCTCTGGCTTTCCACCTTCTTTGTTTCCCCTGAATACTACCGTGTTCTAGAGAGAGTGTCTAGGCTTGTAAAAGGAGGCTTTGATCTGAAATGTGTTGGCCTGATTTGGGAATTCCCTAGTAAAGAGCTGTTCCCTCCATGGGGCCTTCTTCAGGTGAAGCTGCTACTCCGCCTCCTTGTCAGAAGCACTGAGCCTCTGGGAAGCTCAGTTGCGTTGACTGTGCTTCAGTTTCCCTTTGCAGGAAATGGGGATAACTACTCCCATTCTAGAATGTGTGCAGATTAAATGAGATCAGAATGTGAATTTAGTTGCTGGGGACATAGCTCAGTGACATAAGCACCTGCCTAGCAAGTGCAAGGTCCTGGGTTCCATTTTCAGTACCAAATAACCACAGCAAAAACCCTGCAAAGCAAAGAATCATTGGACCCAGGATATGAATTTAGAACTTTTTTGGGCACATGAAAAATGCCACTTTAGTGTTGATGATGACTTTTAAAATATTTTAAATTCCTGAGTTTCTTTAAATTCTATAGGAAGATTGAAAAAAACCTTTGGCTGGGCTTTTTTTTTTTTTAATGTATTTGGTTGTTACAGGGTCTTACTACGAAGCTTGAACTCGTGGTGGTCCTCCTGTTTTCAGCCTCCCCAGCGCTGGGATTATAGGCATGTGCCACTAGCCCGGACTGTGGCTGGCTTAGCCTGCCCTGGGGGCAGGACTGGTGCAGCATGTGGTGCCCAGGATCCAGCCACCATCCCTGTGCTTGCTTAAGCTTCCCTAAGCAGGCACTTTAGCCCACTGAGCTATCTTGCCTGCCCCTGGACATTTTCTTTTGATAAATTTTTCTTTTCACCAAGTAACAAAAATGTTTATGTAGCCCTACAAGATCAAGGTTTTCTTTTCCTTGAGAAGCCTTTGGACACTTGGGGTCCCCAAACTTCCTGAGCCTCAGACCTGCTGTGAAATGGGTGCTGGAGATGGGAAGGCTTATTATGCCTCTAGCTTTCTTTTTTGTGTTTCTCTCTTGTTGGTCTCATGGTTCTCCACTCTTCGTGTTTTGGTTGTCATGGCGATGTATGAATGTGAGAGCTTTGCCTGAGGAGGGATGAAGCCCTCAAGACATTCTGTTAGTATTCCTGTTTTGTCTGAGGTGGTGGGTGGTGCTTTTGTTGATCACCTTGTTTCTGCCCCCAAATATTCTTTCTATACTTAATCCAATTTTAGATTGCTGTTTGCAGAGTTAGATATAGAATAGGAATACTGGGGCCGGCGAGATAGCTCAGCAGAGTAAAGCCCCTGCCTAGGCAAACTTAGGCAAGCATAGAGATGGTGGTTCGATCCCTGGCACCACATACTGCACCAGCCCTGCCCCTAGGGCATACTGAGCCAGCCAGAGTCCAGGTGTGGTGGCACACACCTTTAATCCCAGTGCCAGAGAGGCTGAAAGCAGGAAGATCATCCTGAATCCGAGCTGCATAGTGAGACCCTGCAACAACCAAATGCATTTAAAAAGAAAAACAGGGGCTGGCCATATAGTTCAGTGGACTAAAGCACCTGCTCAGGCAGAGTGCAGCGGCTGGGTTTGGAACCTTGGCCTGCTGTGCCAGCCCTGTCCCTGCCCCCTGGCATGCTGAGATGATGATTGAGACTGGGACATGGTGGACATGCCTATAATCCCAGTGCTTGGGAGGCTGAAAACAGGAGAATCACTAGGAGTCCAATCTACGCAGTGAGACCCTAAACACCCTGTAGTCTCTGTACCAGATACATTTAAAAAAAAAAAAAAAAAAAAAAGGAGTACTGGGGCTGGGGAGATAGTTTGGTGGCATAAGTGCCTGTCCAACAAGTGTAAGGTCCTGAGTTCAATCCCTGGTACCTAATCTATGGCCATACCACCCTGAACACGCCCGATCTCACCTGGTACCTCATGTTGTGTGCCTCCAGAATTGGGCGTGGTGGTGCAAGCCTGTAATCTCAGCGCTGGGGAGGCTGAAAACAGGAGGATCCCTACAAGTCCAAGCTGCATAGCAAGATCTTTTATCCAAAAAAAAAAAAAAAAAAAAAAGGAATACTGTGTTAGCTTCTGGCACATATAGTGTGAATTGAATATATAATTTTTTTTTTCCTGACTTGACTGAGGCATAATTTACGTGAGGTTTATTTTAATGTATTTGGCACAAGGTCTCACTATGCAGCTTGGACTTACAGTGATCCTCCTGTTTTCAGCCTCTCCAGTGCTGGGATTGCAGGCGTGCACCACTGTGCTGGTCTCCATGGCCAGCTTAGCATACTCAGGGTGAGGCTGGCATTCATGTGGTGCCGGGAATCGAACCCTGGTCCCTGTGCTTGCCAAAGCAGACGCTTAGTCTGTTGAACTATCTTGCTGGCCTAAGATTAATTTATTTTGAGTATATAAGTCAATAATTATTTTAGAACGATTTTATTCTCATATAATGTTTTTGATACTCATCAACTTCATGTTTTGTTTTAAAAGAGAGTTTATTTCTGTGATGGGAATGGAACGCAGTGTACAGCCCTTGTTTAGTTTGCCTGAGGCCCTGGCAGTACAACTCCCGCCCCCCAAAAAGAAAACTGTTATTTTTATTTCTTAATGGTATTCCATTCTGTGGATATCACAATTTGACTTTCCATTCAATTAATGGATGTTTTTGTTGTTTAATGTTTGGTTAGTATGAATAATGTTGCTGTGAATATTCATGAGTACTTAGTTGAATGATGTATATTTTCATTTTTCTTGGAAATAGATACCTGGAAGTGAACTTACTGGGTCACATGGTAAATTTATATTTAACTATTTATTTATTTATTTATTGTCTGTGCTACTCAGAAAGCATTTCACTGTCACTAAGTTGCACAGGCTGGGTT